TCTGGAATTTGATGTAAAATCTCCTACATTGTAAATGTTGGCAATATATTCAAAAATTTTAAAATACAGGGTGGTCCAAAAAAACACATCTCTGGACTGGATTGTCCTGTGAGCTGCTTACCTACAACCTGTTATGTAGAAAAAAGCATGAACGGCAGAATCATACTGATTCTGAGTTCAACCCTTGGCTCTACCTTTTGGACCACAGAAAAAGTTATTTCAAGTTACTTAAGCCTGAGCTTCATTTTTTTCCACCTTTAAAATTGGGACGGTGCTTCCAGGATTGATATGAAGATTAAATGAAACCACGTGGTTGGTACTCAATACTAATTTGCCTTGTTTCTCCATCACTCCTCTCCCGTCTTTCCCACTGCACAATAAACAGGAAAGAATAGCTCCTCCACATTAGTATTTGAAGCAAGTTAAGCAACATTTTTCATCATTTGTCATATGTTTTTCTAAGAAAATGTACCACGAGGAGCCTAAATGCCCACTTCCAGCGTCTTATCAGACCTCGTTTGCATCCGTGATGAGAAGCAAGCCTAAAGGGGAGCTTTTTGGTTGCCGTTGTTATTGTGTTTTATTTTATTATGTTGGTGTTTTGTTGTTTAAAGGTAAGAGGACAGAGGATGTGTTAAAGAAACATTCTTCCTGCAATCTAAAAATCCATCGACAGGTGAATGGATAAAGAAGATGTATATACAGTGGAATACTACTGTATATACATAAAAAAGAATGAAATAATGCCATTTGCAGCAACATGGATGGGCCTAGAGGTTTTCATACTAAGTGATGTAAGTCAGAGAAAGACAGATATCATATGATATCACTTATAGGTGGAATCTAAAATAATGATACAAGTGAACTTATTTATAAAACAGAAATAGACTCACAGACATAGAAAACAAATTTACGGTTACCAAAGGGGAAAGGGGATCCGGAAGGATAAATTAGGAGTTTGGGATTAGCAGATTCACACTGCTGTATATAAAATAAATAAACAACAAGGTCCTATTGCATAGCACAGGGAGCTGTATTCAATACCTTATAATAAACTATAATGGAAAAGAATCTGAAAAAGAATACATATATGTATATATATACATATATATTATAACTGAATCACTTTGCTGTACACCTGAAACTAACACAGCATTGTAAATCAACTATCCTTCAACTTAAAAAAAAATTCTTCCCGAAATTAAATTCTGACAGTACAATCTCCCACGATCCCGACAATGGAGCAAAGGGAAGACCCAGAGCCAGCAAAGGAAGCCCTCCAGCAGCCTCAGGTTCTCCAAGAGCCTTTATAACAGTGCAAGGGAGGGGCACAGAACAAGAGGAGAACAGCAAAGAGTGTCATGGGTTTGCAGCCATCGTGTTAGCAAGGCTGGGGCTCAGAATCTAGCTGAGACTTGCAAAAAAATGCTCCGGAACAGCTAACAGAGCTTTGTGTGAGCGTGCTTTGACCTGGGAGAATAGGGAAGGGCCAGGGGCAGACGGTGTTACGCTAGAAGATGACAGATACAAAGCAGAGTTGCTCCACTCCTAAGTAGCTGTCATCTCCTCTATCTCCAAGAAGGATCTTCAACATGGTTAAAAGGAAACTACAGCCCTAGGTGTGAAGCTCTGCAGGAAGTAAATACCTGGCCTCTTCAAATAAGCTCAGGTCTCCAGGTCCTGACAAATCTCATCCCCGGGGATGACAGAACTTGTAGGTTTCATCACAGAACCATTGTCGGTAATCTTTCAGGGATCTCAGGAGTGATGCCAAAGGATTAGTGATGGGAAACGGTCCGAGTTATCAAAAGGGGGAATATGTAGCTTCCGGAGAGTTTGCACCATTGAGTTTAACTTTGATCCCCAGCAAACCTTAACCTGGGTTATTAAAGAGTTAGATTGAAATCGCTTCAAAAAGGAAGCAGAAATCTCAAAAAGCCAGCACAAGTTTGTGTACAACAAACCACATCATACTAACATCATTTCATATTCTTTTCTTTCTTGAAAGGTTATCAAAAATCACCAGGTTGTCCCAGAGGTACTGAATCTTTCAGCAGGGATTTGGGCAAAATTTCTCATGGTAAGATGAATAGATAAGGAAGAGATGATGTCCAGCTGGGTAAAGGCACAACTAGGCAACCCACTGTACCCAGAAAGCACTGAATGATTGAGCCAAGTCATCCAAAGAAAGGTGTACAGTACAAGATGCCTCTGGTCCTTCTGTGGGGACCGGTTCTGTTAAATATCTTTCAATGACGCGAACGGTAGGCCAACATATAAATGAGGGCTGACACAAAATGGAAACGTATAAGTAATACACAGCATGGCAGAAACAGGATATGGTTTGCTAAGCAAGGAGCCAAAACAAACACATGGAATTTAATGGGGGAAAATGAAAGATTTTCATTTTGATTAAAAAAAAAAAGACTCAGTTATTCAAACTATTGACGAGAGTTCATGTGAAAAAAAAAGTCTTGAGGATTTTAGTTAACAAAAAGCTCAATTTTCTGACAAATTTCTGACATGGCTCCAAAAAACTAATGCTTGTCATGGTCACACCAAGATGGTGAGCACCCCGTTGGCTGCCCGCATCAGAGCATCCGGGTCTGTTCCAGGCACCATGTTTCTCCTTCACATTCAGCTTTGTGGGCCTCTGTAATTTTTTTTTTTTTAATTACAAAAGAAAAGTATAGTCATGGTAGAAAACCTACAAATGTAGAAAGGTGAAAAAAAGAAAACAAAAATGATCTAACTGTCACCATTTAGTGATAACTACTGGTATCGTTTTGGTATGTGTCCTTCAAGTCTTTTTTTTGTGTGAGTCGGAGGAATATGGAGGGAAAATTTTTTTTTTTTTTTGAAATTAACATCATATCCTGAATTCCTCCCCCCAACTCATTATATATTCTTTGAAAACACAGTTTTAATAGTCACACCATCCATTATCATATGCATATACCTTAATTTGTTTAAAGTGACTCACTCGTGGACATTTAAGCTGTTTCCATTTGGAGGCAGTGGCAGGGAGGTACCACCAGCTTTGAAAAGGATATTGACCAAGGAGTGGGCACCCCGGGGAGGCCAGCCTGTTTAGGGAAAGGTCTTGGAGGGACAGTTAAAAAGCTGAGAATGTTTATCCCAGGGAAAGGCCCTGATGGCCTTCTTCAAACCCTTGATTTGCTGTCAAGGGTGGAAGGGAGTGAATTCGTTATGTGTTGTTCCCGAAGGTTGAACTAAGACAGGTGGAAAAAGGTTGGAGGGAGTCTGATTTCAGCTCCATCTCTAACTGTCACTGCTGCCTGCCCGAGGACCGAGATGCTTTGAGAGGGAGTAACCCTTCCATCACAGAAAGTGTTCAAGCCAAGACAGGATGGCCACCTGGGGCCGGAATTTGTAGATAGGATTCCTCCGCTGAGTGGGAGACTGAAATAATAACCTCCAAGATTCCCTCCAACTGGAAGATTTCGTGCTTCTTTCTTACCCTCCTTTGAGCCCACTCACAGGAAGAATTTATGGCAGGTAGGGAGTAAAGAAGTCGATGTCATTAATTTTACTGCTGGAGGAAGCGTTGTAGCTCAGAGATGCAATATACACCTTTGTCCTCTGTACCGTCTCACATCTAGACAGCATTTTACAGTCAACAAAGCCTTTTTCACGTAGGCCTTATAACGTGATTCTTGTAACAGTTTTGTGAAGTGGGTGTTGTCATAAGTGTTCTCGCCTTTAGTTATTATGGCTTTACAAGGTATTTCGATCTCTAGTTGGGCACGTGTCCCCAATTTTGTTCCCTTCCAAAATTGTCTGAGCTATTCTCGGCCCTTTTTTCCCTCCCATATTAATTTTTGTATAAGCTTTTCAAGTGCCTGGGAAAAAAACTCATTTCCATTTTGATTGTAATTGCCCTGAATTCATAGACTTAAATTGGAGGAGCAGTAATGCTATCGGGTCCCTCCGTCCGTTTATTTGGGGGTGGCCTCTTCCTCAGTAACCTGCTCCACCCCACCCCCTTTCTTACTGGAAGAACACACTTCCCACGATAGAGACTGAAAATATGAGATGCTTTCTCAGCCTCCCTTGCCGGTAGGCATGACCTCACAACTTAATCCCGGGGAGTGCGACTAGAGGCGACATTCTATGAGAACAGTTTGATAAACACGATGTGTGAAGAGATACTTCTTTTACTTCCTTCAGAATGAGGCTGTACGAAGGGGACTTTACACATAGACTGTAGCTAATACAACCAACCTACAGCCATGAGAGGACAAATCTGAGGGTAGAAGCCCTGCCGCAGAAAGATGGAAAGATCCTGGGCGTCTGATGACGTCTTTGCGTCGCAGGACTAACCCGCACCTGCCTGTGCTGGACTTCTTGTTACACCAAATGATAAATGTTCTCATAGCTAAGGCATTTCTGGTCGGCATGTGTTACTTGCACGTGAAAGCATCCTAATTAATATACCATGTCTTTTATCATTTCCTTCAATAATATTCCATCTGCTTCTCCACAAGCACCTTCTTCAGTTTTGCGAATAAGACATTTAAAAAAAATTACATTCCTAATCGTCTAAGACTGGCGATTAAGGAAGGCTACTGATTTGTTTCTTGGCCTTACATCCAGCTTAGTGATCACTCTTATTCATTCCAAAAGTTTATCTATAACAGTTCTTAAGACTATCACACCGCCTGCTGATAAAGACCGTTTTCCTTTTAAATTCTTTATCTGATTGTATTAGCTATGACTTCTGGCACAGGGCTGAAAAGAAGCAGTTAGAGTGAGCGGTTCTGTTTCCTCCTGACTTGGACATGGGTGCTTACTGAGTTTCACTTCTCAGGACCCCTGCAAGCCAAAACTCCAGGGGCCCAGCTCACATTACTTTGTCACTAGATGCGATTTTGTAATATATCTTAATAAATACTCTTTACTAGGTTAACGTGTTCCTTTTTCCTATCAGTTAGGATTAGGCTTGGCTGAGGGTAACACAAAACGACTAAATGGCAGTGGGTTAAACAAGATAGAAATTTATTTTTCATGCTCAAGAAACCCAGTCCGTTGGGGACATCTCAGAGATCCAGGTTCTTCTTATTATGCTGTACCGCCGTCTGAATGTAAAGGGTAAAATTGTATGCTTTTCTCAAGGGATGAAGAAAAAACATTCAATAAAATTTATCATTGACTTAACGAATTTTTTAAAAACTTAATAAACTAGGCCTAGAAAGTATGGCTGAGACTGCTAATTTCACCCTGGTATTCATTCTCCCTTTATTCCATTGTAAAAAAAAATCTTAATCCTTTCTTCTTAATTTTCAATTTTATTTGCATAAATGTATCATTTTCTCTTACGATCTGTTTAATCTCCCTTCTAAGGCAATATAGTTCTGTTCCCCTTTTTGTTCTTGGTATTGTTTATTCGTGCCTTTTTCTTTATTATGCGTACTAGAACTTTTTCTTTTATTCAAAAAATCAAATTTTGATTTTATCGATCTTTTGTATTGTTAGATTTCTAGCTCACCCTTATTTTTTCCTTCCTTCTCTTTTTAGGGTCTTGCTGTTTTTTACCCCCCTTGCTTCTTGGATTGACTGTAGACTCATTTACTTTTTACCTTTCTTTCTTTTTATAAATTAAATTTAGGTCTTAATTGAACCTTATAAGTCTACACTAACTGCATCACATGTGTTTATGTAATCCTTTCCCTTTTTCTTAGTTTAAATTATTTTGGACTTTATGATTTCTTCTTGAACCCAAAAGTTATTTAGGAGAGCATTTTTAAGCTACCAGACATGCTTTTTTCTCCACTTACTAAAAACAAAAACAAAACAAAAACCTCTTTCCCTGGCTTGTAGGTATGGAATTTAATTGCATAGTGATCAGAAAATATGTATGATATAAATTCTTGGAAAATTGTTAAAATCTTCTTTGTGACATGATCAAGTCTGCAAATGTTCCATGTTAACATGAAAATCAATTATAATCTTTATTTACTGTGTGTGGGTATCTGTATAAAGCTGTTAAATAAATTTACATATATTTTCTTCAAATATTCTACAGTCTTACAAGGTTTTTTTTACAATTCATCATTTTCTATTGGAAGAATGTTAAAAATCTATTATTTGTATAGAATGATCAGTTTCCCCCTTTTGTATCATTTGAAGTCATGTTGCTCAGTGTGTGCAAAGTCATGGTTGCTACATCATCTTGGCAGATGACTCATTTTGTACTATATGGTGTCTCTCTTTTTCCTTATTTTTTTTGCTATAAATTCCATTTTGTCTAATATTAATATTGCTGCTCAACATTCTTTTGGAATTTGAATGATCTATCTTCTCTCTTGCCCACTCTTTGTTTTCAGTCTTTTGGACTGATACTGTTTTAGGTGTATTTTTCCAGTCACTAGTATATGGCTGGATCTCTTTCTCTTTCTCTCTCATTCATTTTGATAATCTCTGCTTTCAGTTGTTGCCTTTAATCCAACTGCAAGTACAGAATTATGAATTCTTATTATCTTAAATTGTTTATTTTTAATGAATGAAATTTCTTTTTCGTCTCTTTGATTATCTTAAACTTTCTATTTAAGCCTTCATCAGACTGCTTTGTAAAATTATTTTCAGTTGGCGTGAATTATTGATTTTGTTGATTGTTTTTCTTAGCACTCACTTCCTATGTATATTCTGGAAAGTTTGCAGGCTCACTTTATACGGGAGGCTTTTTGTTTTGTTCCCTCTCTCTTGCATCCAGTTGAAAAGCTTTGTGGATGCTTCCACCCAGCACCCTGCGCCCTCAGTCCACAGCCAGGTTTATGATGGTTTCCTGGAGTCTCCTGCCCCACAGTGAGAATAAGAACATTGCAGAGTCACTCACAGAACCTGGATCAGTTCCTTGTTGGGAGCCTGGGTCCCACCTCCCTCATCCTGTACCTTCTGGGAGAGTCAGACCCTGTCTTCGGACAGTTAGCCTGCTTCCACCATCCTTTGCGTGGACACTTAGCTTCTGTTACCCCAAAAGAGCCAGGCTCTTTTCTGCTGTGGCCTGCAAGGCCATGGCTTCCTCCCTCCTCACTGCTTTGAGTGATCCATAAAGATATTTTTTCTTCTTTTTGAGTTTGGCGATATCTTTTTAGGTTTGTTTTTTCTTTTCATACTTTGTCTTTCATTGCTTTGTGCTTAGAGCACAGGGAATATGGAGAAATATGAGATGAAGGGGAGCCTACTTGACTGGAGGTCCATTTCATATCATCTTTTTCTTATAAAGTAAAATATAACCCCCTTGGGCTGGCACTCAAGGCCTTTTGCAATCCAGGTGCAGCCCACTCCACTGCGGGCATCCTGGCCTCTCTCACTTGAAGTTAAGTGCTGCCCCCTGAACATAGCATGTGCTCTCATTCTTCCGTGTATTTATATGTGCTGTTTCTTCTGTCAGGATGGCCATTCTGCCACACGTGTAATCTCCAAGACTTTGATCAAAAACCTTTTCAGCTGGGAAGTTGGCTTCAGATCCTTTAGGCTAAGTTATTTCTTCTCCATACAATGCACTCAACACATGTGTACTGAGTGAATGAACGAATGAATGAATGAATCATATGGTGTAAAAGATTGAGTAGACACAAGTACATGTGGTTTACAGCCATAATGTTACCTCCATGGTCAATTGTTTATCTAGAGGTCTGCTCTGATCAACTGTAGTGTATCATATTGATCAAGTGCATTTAGAAATAAGGGGAAAAGTGTGGAGACAGTTTTTCCATGAAGCTTGTCTTATATCACGGCCATTATGCTAACTCTAAATGAAGCTGGTTAAGATAACCTATATCCCTTTTGTAAAAGTGTGACTTTTACAACTATTAAGGCAACATGATTAGGGACCAACTGTCTCATTTCCTTCCTCAATAACAGGGTATCCTTTTAAAGAACAGATGTTACCCTGAGCTCTATTTTTTTATTTTTAGAAAAGTTTAAAATATGATGGAAAAAGCTTAAATTCTTCAAGCTCTAGTATGCTTAACTGTTGTAACACTATAAAAACCCGATTGTATCTTTCTATTCATTATGATTTCATCTCAGGAGAAAGGTTACTTTTTTTTTTTTTTTTGCTCCCTTTTTGAGAGGGGAAAGAATTTATCAAGGAAAGTGGTACCAAATGGCATGTTTTTTGAGCAAAAATATTTACCTAATTGTCCAGCTTTTCGGGAATCCTTCAGGATACTATTTCTTCCTCAGGAACAGAATGAAGGCTCTGTGACATGCGAGAAACAAAAAGGGTTTCAGTCTGGTGGGAGTTCCTCGCGCTTTCTTTTCCTCCAGCTTGGTCGCACAGCTACGGCAAAAACAGAAGATTCAAAAATGAGTAACATTTTTGTTCTAAAAACATCTAAAATTCATCTCAAACCTGTACCTCTTCTGGGCAAAGAAATGCAATCCAATATAACAAGTAATTAAACAAACAAACAAACAAATGCCTAAAACCACAGTCTCCTCTGGCACCTGTCTACACCCGCTTCTTGCCTGTAACTCTTCCCCCAAATCCCAGCTATGGTGACCCCCTCTCCCACAAGCCCACCTTCCCCTGGTCCAGCACCGTCACGGCAGGGCTCCTGTGTCTGGCCCAGGCATGTGTTGGGTAAAACTACATATGCAAAACATGGGGAAGAGAATTCGGAAGCGAAGGTGAACTTATCATCACATTTAACTCCAGAACTTTGCTCCCTGTTGCCAGGAGTCGTCACAGACTTCTGAAAACCTGAAATTTAATTTATGTGAGGTTTTTTCTTCTTCCTAGTGATTCAGAAAAAAAAGAAACGCTAAATTTTCCCCCAGATTGCTATTTCCTCTGCATTCCTAATCTGACCTCAAAGCTTTATTCATTTAACGTTATTTAGCAGAAGGCGGTTAACTACTTACTCTGCTCCTTGCACTATTTCTCATAGATACTTTGAAGCCGTCGTGGGGCTTCAAAGGGAAGGATTTGGATTTTCGACAACTGAGAATTCTGAATCGATTTCAACGTCTACAGAAAGGATCGAAATTCGATAAACTGTCTTTTCTCCTTGTATAACCAGCCATCTCACTGTACTTGAGAGGTCGTAGTCCCTCCCAGAGAAGGGTATGAGGGAATGGGACATGGGGATTTTTTCTACTTAAAGAAAAAATATCTGGAAATATCTTTTTGCTTATTGGCTTGATCTTTTGTGCTAAGCAACTATGATTTTTTTTTTTTTTTTGCGGTACGCGGACCTCTCACTGTTGTGGCCTCTCCCGTTGCGGAGCACGGGCTCCGGACGCGCAGGCTCAGCGGCCATGGCTCACGGGCCCAGCCGTTCCACGGCATGTGGGATCCTCCCAGACCGGGGCACGAACCTGCATCCCCTGCATCGGCAGGTGGACTCTCAACCACCGCGCCACCAGGGAAGCCCGCAACTATGAATTTTTGAAGAGGAGAACAAAATTCACAAGATCTGTACGTCCAACCATTATGTTGTGCCCCTTCAATTTACACAGTGATGCATGTCAATTATATCTCAGTAAAACTCTGGGGGAAAGAAAGACAGAGGAGAGCAAACAATAGCCACGAAGAAAAAGCAGCACTGTCTAAAGAGGACGCATCCGTCAGCTCTGAGACAGGTACCTGTGGTACATTTCATTTCTTTTCATTTCAAATCACATTTACGAGCATCTGCTAAGTGCCAGGAGCTGAGTGGAGTTCTAGACCCGTATAGAGATATGACGCAAGCCACATATGTAATTTGGAAGTTTCTAGTAGCCATATTAAAATGATTAAAAGGAAATAAGTTTTGCAAATTTTCAAATATTGGAAAAAATATAAAGATTAAAAAAGGGCTTCCCTGGTGGCGCAGTGGTTGAGAGTCTGCCTGCCGATGCAGGGGACACGGGTTCGTGCCCCGATCCGGGAAGATCCCACATGCCGCGGAGCGGCTGGGCCCGTGAGCCATGGCCGCTGAGCCTGTGCTCTGCAACGGGAGAGGCCACAACAGTGAGAGCCCCACGTACCGCAACAACAACAACAACAACAAAAAAAAAAAGATAAAAAAATAACATTTCAAACTTTGGAAAGATTTATTAAAAAAAAGAAATAGGTGAATGTGGTCTGGCCCTGCTGATCTTCCCCCCAGCCCACTGCTCCCAGCCTCTTTCCTGAACTTCGGCCTCCCTGGCCTTCCAGGGCCTCCCACAAACCAGTCTTTTCCCCTGGGATCTTCCACAGCTCAGGTCTCTGCCTGGTGTCCCCTCCCCATCTCTGCCACTACTTCTTGTCGTTTGGTAAACAGAATGCAGTGCTAGATGGCCGACAGGAGCTGGATGGGTACCCAGTATGTGGGGCTGTTCACAGTTGATGAAGTGGGGAACGATGCTTTCGTCCAGGTACGTAGAATGGATCCTCGTGATGGAATTTTGGACTCCATGACGATAGGAGTTTCATTTACGATTGTGTAGATTATTCTTGACGTAGAACTTGAAGCTGAGGGGTGAGTGAGACGGTAAACCCATCTGCACTCTGCTCACCAAGCCACGCCCCCCGGCACAGAGCCGTGTCCTCTTGAAGGAAGGGCCGACTTTTCTGCTTTTCACAAAGCCACTGACCTAGCCAGGGGCAGCTTTGTGCTGAAGGGGGATTTGGGGGCTAGGGAGAGGTCTTGCCAGCCCCTCTTAAGATGCATCTCACAAGTGGCCCTCCTGCAATGTCTTTGTATAAGTTCTGTGGAGTTGAGGAGATACATATTTGTGTATTTGTGATCATTCTTAGGTCTTGACCTTGAGATTCTCTCAGGGAGAAACAGAAAAATCAATCATTTCAATAAATCTTATCTTGGGCCCAACATGAATCATCTCTCCTCAAGACTCTGGTTCCCTGGAATCCAGATGGGGTTTCCATGACAACAGGGGACATGAGAGTCTCAGACTCTCTCAGAGGGAGTATTACTAAGAATTAGGGGAGGACAGAGTCCCATCCAGATGAAGGAGGCCTTCTGGAGAAAGGTCCGAGGGACATAGCCATTGGATATCACTGTCCTGATGGTATAAAACCTCCCCTACGATATCATACCCACTGATGTATAAACTCGCACCATTCATTTAAAAACCGCTACCCGTTTAAGCAACATTAGAACATTTCCAAAACATCCCCTTCCCTTCTTCCTTCTTCACATCTGCCAATAATCGACCATTTAAAAAAAAAAAAAATTAGTGCCTGCTCTGTGCCAGCAGGTACAAGGGGCCACAGTCAGTCTCTGGTCTCATAGATCTTAATAGAAGTTTCCGAGGTGGTTTCTCCAAAGAGAAGATTTTAGGTCTGAGATGATCTCTAGGAATTTGATGCTCCGATTTCCAGAATCCCCAGATCCCCCTTCACGCTCTGTTAATGTGTTGCCAAATGTTGAAAGCACTTAGTTCTAAGTCGCTGATTACGTGTCAAGGAGAACAAGGTGCCCAGCCCCTCCCCAAAAAGGATGAAGCTACTTCTTCCCTGGGCTCGCTCACCACTTGGGAAGTGCGTGCAGATTTCCCAAATGCCAAGTCGGTGACACTGACCTCCAGGACAGGACTCCTCTCCAGGCCTCGGTTGCTAAGCACACCGTTTAGGTTTTCTTCACTCACTCTCCTTCATCAAAGCTTTTAGGCCATCTGTAGCCTCCTATTTATTGCTTTAATGTCAGACATTGGTTGAGCTTCTGTGTTAATTTTGCAATAAGTTTGGATAAACAACAAAAATGATAAGACACAATCCCTACCACGTTTGAACTCATGGGCCAGCTGGGGAGGAAGAAAGTATGTAAACCATTTCAGTTCAGGGTGATAAAAAGCCATAGCAAATCCTACAGAAAGACAGAAACATAACTCTTAACTTTAGCTGATGAAACTGGCGAGGCTTCGTGGAGCGGTCATTTTGAGCTGAATCTTAGAGTACAAATAGGAATTAACCAGGCGGGGAGGTGAGGGAAGACAAGTCTAGGCAGAGGGAACAGTGTGTGCAAAGTGCCAAGGAGGTTGTGCTGGACGGTCCAAGGAGACACACGCTCCCTCCAGGGCAGTCTTCTCTATCTGAGCACCCGGGAACTAACGAGACAAGTTATCTGCCCTCTCCCCTACACCCAACACACAGTGGTGGGACGGGCATGGAATAACCACTAGAGACACTCCCATTCAAAAAGGGGGGAAACAGGAGACATATGGGAGTCCCTGGTCTAAAGCAACTCTGAAATCTGATGGGAACATGTGGTCTGTTCCCTGATTAGAGACCAAGCCCTGGAAATTACCTGCTGCGGTCTTGGTTCTGTCCTAACAGCCATTCTTCCTTTTCCTGAAAAGGTAACCTATATTTGCAGCTGAGACATTTTCTCAGACTATTTTCAGCCTGTAAAAGTTTGGGGGCCCAAAGACCTTTTTCTTTTTCTTTTATTTTGGTATGTTCTCTGTCTCTTTCAGTCCAAGCTAGTGGTGTTTCTGCTTGTACAATTTTCTTAAAACATTTGGAAACCTCCTATGAATCTTACTGCGGTTCATGCCATTAGAAAAATAAAAAGTCACATCCACAAATCTCTTGGGGATAAATCATTCTCTCCCTTTGGCTTCTGCCAAAGCTACCAAGGATTCTTAAAAGTCCTGGATTTTGTTTTTGTTTTCATTTTTGTTTTTGAATGAACAAAATGCTCTAAGGCATTACATTGAATTTTTCCAAGGGCTTATCAAAGGACTTTACAGTCATACTCTCAATTTTGTCATTACACCATGTTTTTCTGCCCATTCCCTGAATTTTATTTTTTTCCAGAAGCTATTCTTGATTTCCATCTGGAGAAGCAGGAGACCTTCCAAACTGCTGTGCAGAGTCTGTGTCCTTTATATTTAACTTTTTTGTTCCCTTGAGCTTCTCTCTCTGCTCTCAAATTTTACAGCAAGAAGACGTCAGGGTGACCTTTAACCCTGCCTGGAAATCTTAGCTAGATCACCCAACTCAAAGGGTGCACTTTCTATTCTCCCCAGTACTGCAGACAAGAGTGTTGCTCAACTTTCCACCTCTACATAATGGATCCTCTTCTGTCTCGTTGCCAATAACAGTTCCCTCATTTTTCTTTAATCCTGATAGCTAGCTTTCTCGAAGGACACCAGGCTTCTGCTAACAGCCTCTTTGAGACCCTTTAGATTTTTACTAATACTGTCTTCAAGGTCTTTCCAGCTGCCGTCCTCCACTGTCCCAAAGCCACTCTCATATTTTTAGGTGTTTGGTGACAGCAGCCACTCCACTTGTCCCTCACCTTCTGCACACTGACTTTGGACTCCCTTGTCTATTTCCACCTCCGGCTGCCGCCCATGAAGCCTGCTTCCAATCCCCTTCCATGCAGTGGGTAGACAATTTTCTTCCAGAACTTCGACTCCTTCTGAAGGTCCTGGGAAATCCTTCCAACATATCCCTCCAAAGATCGGTTCCCCAGAGGAGCTGTCTTGGGAAAGAGCTGAAAGGCAGGCTTAGTCAAAGTTTTTATTGGAGGCTGTCTTCAAAAAAACAAACAAACAAATACCTTTTCAGGGTACCAAATATTTCATCTGGAGAAAAGCATCAAAATTCTGTGGGAAACATTTTTAATTCTCTGTTTGAAAGCAAAACCCAGACAGTGAGATCCATTTCTAACATCTCAGGAGAGAGAAAGAAAAAATGTGGGCTTAAATTTATGTTAGGCTAAGGTAGGTTGTTATTGGTTTACTTTTGTTTTCAAACATTAGCTTGACAGTAGAAGCAGTGCATGGCCAAGTGGGGAAGGCTGAGGACTCATGCAGACCTGGGCAAGTTTCCTAAGGCCACAGACCTCAGTTTCTCCATCTCTAAAGTGGAATTATAATTACACTTACCTCCAAAGGTTGATGTGAGGGTTAGAGGAGATGCGAAGTATGTAAAGTAGCAGAGCATCCAGCAGACGATCACTAACCTCCTCTGGCCTCATTAACATGGAGACTACAGAAATGACTCCTCATGGCTCCTCTGAAACCTCCACGGGTCGTTCCTGAAGCTTCCGGAATCAGGAGTCTATGTTTCCACTCCCCCGGGAGGATGCTTTGCTGGGGAGGAGTTGGGGGAAGGCAGCTTCCCTCTTGCCCTCCTAGGAATTAGGATCTCTCCCATACTAAAAAAAAATCCCAAGTTTAGGACTATGGAATGTGGACATCTCCATGGACCACATTGAATCTGTTCCCAAAGGACTATTTCAGGGAAGAAACAAGACCCATTTAGTTTTATGCCTGCCTTAAATCCACCCTTGATGTCATCTTTCTGGGTTTCTCTCCTCCACAGCCCAAATCTCCTCCATGCTGCTTCCTAGGAGAAGCCTTCAACTCTGTCTCCCAAGCAGCCCTGAAGTAAGAGGCTGGAAGCCAGTCTAGCCCCTGCAACCAGCAGCAGGTCCCGGCTCCCACTGTGGCATGGCATCAAGCTGGGAAAAGCATGGGACTGGGAAAAGGAGAGAATGACAAAGGTGAAAATGAGATTCAGAGAAGGAATTTTAGGAGAGTAGAGAGGGAACATTGTTTGGAAGCACGGTGATGTACCCAGGTGGGAGGAAGTTCTTGGGGGGAGATGTGAACAAAAGCAGAGACACAGGAGAGGAATCTGAAGGGGAGGAGTATGGAATACACTCGAGGGAAAAGCTGCGGAAGGCGGGAGTCGGATGGGGAGTTAGTTAGACTTGCTGGGATTCTGGCAGGTTCCTCTCCCTGCTTCTCCCCACCTTCCTCTGGGTGATTCCACCTTTTTAGACACTCTGTCTTCTTTGCCCCCTTCTGGCTTTAGCTCAGCTCAGGTTGTCTCTCTCTGGAGATGACGCAGCCTCTTGGCCAACCGGTCCCTCCCCAGGCCCCGGCCCCTACCCATGCAGCTCACAGCCCCAGTGGCCTCTCTTTAGTCTGATCTAGTCCCCTTGGTGGATCCCGCACCTCCAGGATCGGAGGTGGATCCCACACCCTCAGGATCAGGTCCGAGCCCCTCATCATGGTGCATCTGTCTTTTGTGAACTGACCTCCCAGCCTAACCTCTCTCCACCGTGTGCTCCAGCCTCTCTGGGGAGCCCATCACCCAGAGCCTGCCTGGCCCCCCTCCCCTGTCCTGCATTGGTTCTGCCTCTCACTCTGTCTTTTCTCTCTCTCTGGCCGACTTACATGCATTTGAGCACACGGGGCGTTTCCCCTTCATGTCAGATCCATTTGCCCTGCTTCCCCAGCGAGTTCCCGTTTGGTTTTCACGTTTCGGCTCAGACACCCACTTCTCCTTGACGCCTTCCGTGCTGGTACCACCCCTCACCCCCGCCGAAGCTGACACAGGCACACCCACGCTGGCTTGTTTTCCTGCTTGCTCGGAACTAGCTTGCCTCTGATGCTTCCGGACGGACACGCTGCCTTATTCTCATCTAGGATGGTTTCTGGAAGGAGTCCCACACTGACAGAGTGAACGGATGGATGGACGCTCACCTGGTGGCAAAGAAGAGGTGGTCGGTGGGGAAAGAAAAGGTGGCAGGGGGGAATCAGTGAAGGAAGGAGGTTAGGTGAGGAGGAAGGTGAGAGGAAATACAGAGAAGAAAACAAAGGGTTTGGGTAAAAGCAACACATATATTTTTGCAGGGGCTGGTAACTCCTATTTTAGGGGAGAAAAGTCCTGCATCCAAACGGCACCTTGGGCTATTTCTGCTGCTTCTAAATGAAGGATGAGGGTGGGAGGGGGTCCCAGACCCTAGAACCAGCACCACTTAGGAATCACCTGCCTCCCCCTTCAGGCCTCACTTCCTGGGCCTCCAGGTGCCTGACTTCCTTCCCTTGGTACTAACGCTGTCCCTGCCCTGCCCTTCACTGCACCCCCAAACCATCACACCCCACCAGGGACAAACCCCCCAGTCTTCTCTCTTACTCAGGGTCCCCACCTTCCTCCTCTACTTCCTCCTGACTTACTTCCCACGCTGATCCCTCCCCCAATTCATCTCCCTTTTCCACACCCTAGGAGCGCACGTCATTCATCCATTGGTCGGAACCCGCAACCAAAGGCGTGCTGCCTCAACTGCTCAGTTTCCTAAAAGCCCCCCAAGTTCTGTTAAGACAATAGGAACATTTAGGGACAGTCATTTTTTAAAACCTCCAAGGCACTCCATTGCCTCTGCTCAAGATACCACTTGACTCAATGTCTTGGACGTTGCAGGGCCTGGCCCGTAGCTGAAGATTAATGTCTCTGCATGTCCAGGGTCAATGGCTCGTGGGGTTTTATCAGCATCGGCAGAGTGGGAAAGGTAATGGAGAACCAGTTCAAGGGACCCCACTCCCCCTACGTCCGAACCTCACTCCTTTGGGGCAAACGCCGTCTACAGAGCCTGTGCACCACGGTTTATTTTTATCTGTTGATTTTGCAGTTAACAAAGAGAAGTTGCCTCTTTCTGATGCGCTGGTTCAGGGGTTCAAAGCGTCTAGCTACCTTGACCTCCTTACTAGCCTCCGACATCGCGGTGTGGCTGCCCAACTGGGCAAGATTTATACTTATTTTTCTATAATGGAAAACTCATTGCCGGACATCGAGTTACTCACTTTGATTTGTTTTCTTTGGAAGAAGCGGCCGGCGGCGGCGGCAGCAGTGCCCCAAGCTGGGTCATTAATATGGCAGCAACAGCAACAAAGACCTTTACAGCCGCTGCCTGTAAACCGTGGATAAAGTTCAAGCATTTATTCTGTCTGAGGCCTCCCAGTGTCTATAAAAGCCCAGCACGATTATATGATCAGTGTCAAGACCCACTTTCCTTCTTTGTGCTCCGGGGTGCTTTTCCTTGCCCTGTCCCTCCGTGTTGCCACCGCAGCTGCTCTGGTGCTAATAGCAACCCAAGGCACAGACGACTGGAGTGTTCCTTGGGCTTTGTTTTAAACATGGTGTTTGCTTGTGTTAACTACCGCCTGGCTCTCTGACACCCGTGAATGGAGCTATGCGGAGCTGTCAATCAACAACAATAATAATGCCATCTGGGTTTGAATAATACTAACGAGAAGAAGAAGAAGACGGATACTGTGTATTAACACAGCACCTTTGTCCCAGAAGCTCAGAGGGCGTTTGGGATAATAATTCATTCATGCTCGGAGCACTGCTTGGCGGTAGATATTATGATCCCACCACGGGGGACTGAGACACAGAGAGGGCAAGTGGCTGGCCCCGAGGTCACACAGTAAGTCAGGGGTGGCATAGAACTTAGCTGCTGCGAGTCCCCCAGAGCACTGGCCCTGCAGGATCACACTGATCTACGCCTCTGTGCCTCTGGTTTTAAGCTCTAGTTATACGAGGAGCTACAAGACCTAGTTTTTCCATACCTTATGGGATGAAGGAAAGGAAGAAGTGAAAAGAATGTTCTAGGGTGGAGGACGCCTCAAAGATCCTCAGCGTTTTAAGAGAGCCCATCCAAGCCAGGGGCAAGGAGGGGAGGGTGACTGGATGTAGGGGTACCACGCCGAGAGACATCTAGGATTTCCGAAGGGGTGGGAGGATGATGGAAGGATGTTAAAGCGAGATGGATAAAGAGAAAGAGAGATTTCCCAAGTAGGGGAAAAGGTGAGCTCAGCACAGAGCCAGAAAGCTCTCAGAAAGCCAAACAAGGAGCAATAGCCGGCCAGAAGGAAGGATAAGGCTGGAGATGCCAAGAATTTCCTGGTTTGGTCTAAAATCCCATTCTGCACTTTGCAGGTCCCACCGAGGTCCCTCCCTTCCCAAACCCCTTAGCACCCGGGGGGTTCAAACCTGTCACTTTAAATCAGTAGATTCTCTCCTAACTTCTCTGTGCCTCAGTTTCCACCTCTGTAAAACCAGTTAATAACATCGTCCCGTTGGGTTGCCTAGCACAACGCAATAACTTCCAAATTAATTTCTCCGGCTCCAACCTCTCTCCGATCCCTGTCATTGGGTCGTGATGAGGATGAAATAAGCTAATATATAAAATGTGGAGAACAGTGTGTGACACATAGTGGGGTCAGCTGCTCTTATCACAAGCGGTAATAGGACTGTGATTGTCACCATAGTCATCTTCCTCTGGTCTGCTGGCCTCTTCCTCGACAGCTAAGGAATGGAAAAAGCACAATGGAGAAAGTGTCCAGCCATATAAGGCCATATGATGAAAGCGTCCGGGGCCTCTTCCTTCGGCTGCGCTGTGTCGCTTTCAGGAACAACACTGCAGACCGGCACTGCGCTATCCTGTGTCTTTAATCCTGTCTCCTCTGATAGACTCTGAACCACGCACGGTAACACATCTAATTCTCCTCCATTCCCCAGGGCACCCAACGCCACTTGACAGGCAGCCTTTGCTCGGAAGACACATGTCACTTTTCCGTGATTTCTTGACCACCTGCCATGTGCCGGCCTCTGAGCGGATGTATTAGGGAGGCTCTTCCCCCGGGAGATCAACTTCCTTGGTAGAAGAGATAAGCCGTATAAGGAATAATTCGCAAACCTTAGCGGGCCTCAGAATTCCTTGGACGGCTTGTTAAAAAGAGTCTCAAATGACTTGGAATGCCCATCGAAATTTTATTTTTATTCTTTTTCAGTGGAACTTGTGAAAGTTTGTAACCAAAGAAATGACGAGATCAAAGAGATAGCCCAGAAAATCAACCTTGCAATGCTGTAGAGCGTGGATGAGACCAAGGAGAGATTGAAGTTGGGGAAATCGATTCGGGAGTAGCTGTCATATTCTAGGGAGGTGCGAAAAGTGCTGAAGAAATAACGAACTGATGGATTGGTTTCGAAGCCTTCTTAAACCGCTCATCAAATCCTTACTCTCCTGGTTCCCTCTCCCTTGCAGAGCTGGAGCTGACACCTTCTGCCCTATAAGTTCGTTATTTATGGTCTCGTCTGTCCTTTGCTTTTGTCCCTGACCCAGTTTAGAGACGCTTTACCACTGGGACTGCCTCTGCGGCCCTCTAGTTTCCAAGGCAAGCATTCTTGGCAATCAATAAACAGATTTACAGTTCCTCCCCAGACTTTCCAGGCAGAAAGCCCCTGTGTCACATGTCTCCAGGGCCTCTTCTCCATCCCTCACCCCATGCGAGGACTTTGACCTTGAGTGGATTTGGGCTCCCGTTTTCTCTTTTCCTCTAGACTCTGAGCTCCTTGAGGACAGACCCCAACCTCTATCCCGCATTTTTTCAGTGTAGCGGCTGCCATAGTGTAGGTGCTGGAGAAATCTGTCTTGAAAATAATTAAGGACACATTTTATTAAAACTATCTGTCGTTCTTTGTGTATTAGATATGGAACGCCACATCCCCGTACATATCCTTGTGAAAGCATATGGCTTACGGGATTTCTGTTTCAGACAGAATTTGTTAGATCCACACAAGAAGGCAGTGTCTGTGAGGACGGCCTTCAAGAACAAGAAATCACCTCCGTAACAGAGGAGTCTTCACAAAAATATATGACTTCTTCCCTCCTTCCCTCCATCCTTCCATCTCTCCCTTCCCTCTTCCCTCCCTCCCTCCCTTCCATCCTTCCTCCCTCCCTCCCTCCCTCCCTCCCTTCCTTGCTTCCTTCCAGCAACACACGGTGACTGTGTGAGATTCTTATACAAGGCACTGTGGGAGACTGGTTCCTGCCCTTAAGAAGTTCAAAATCCAATGAAACACACACACCCACTCATCTTTTTATTGGATAAACTGAATTTTATTTTAAACCAAGGCACAAAGCACACAGGTCCACCTGTGCAGGAAGGAGAAACAGGATCGCGGTGCTGGAGCTAGAATCTGGGGAGCCAGCTGCACTGCTGGGCTGCTTTTCCGCAGAGGAGCTGTAGGCACAGCCTGGTGGGTTGCGGCCCAGGGAGCCAGAACCACAGCGATAATGTGGCAGGTGAGCTGTGAGGGGATGGAGAAAGATATTGATGGACCTAAATGAGCCGCAGCGAGGACACGGGGTCCTACTCACAGACAAGGACAGGGATGGAAGCTTTGGGAACAGTGACACGGACCCCAAGTCCAATAGCGCTGGCCCTGGTGGTCAGCCGGCCTTGGCCCTGTGTCTTGAGGCTGCAGTGCTTTCTACACTTTCCCCCGCGGCTGCAGGACACGCTGGACACTTCCCTCTGGGGCCTGGGCCGGGGGATTCATCTGGCCTGGGGCTGGATCTGTCTGTCCTTGGAGCGTTTTTCTTGAGAACCCTCACTCCCTTCCCTCTCCTCAACCAGGCCATGGTCTTGACCTTCAGCCTGAGACGGCGCTCTCAAGCTGAA